AAAAAAAAAAAAAAAGAGAAGGAAACATGAGTAGTTTCAGCCATAGGTATACGTAAGGTGTCAGTTAATTGGATGCAAATATCTTAGAAAGAGAATTATTTTTCAAAATAAATTCAGGAATACTCAAGATTTGACCGATAATACTGATGTTCATAGAAGAAATGAAATAGCAAAATTCTAACATGGAGTTTTACTTTAAACATTTTTCTAACATAACAAAAAATCTAATTTTAATTGGCAAACCTTTTGTGGCAATTAGTAAATTTTTTATACATTTGAAATAAGTACTGTATCTAGCAAGTTCTGATATTTTATTTTTTCTTTGAACATCACTATTATTGGTTAAATCTTGTGCATTTTTTTACATATTTTGAAAAATAATTTTACTTCCAACAGTCAGACATATTTTATTAACTGACACCTGATGTATACCTTTGGCTGAAACTAGTGTTTTTTAAAAGCTTTTATTGTGAGGTTTTTTATGGTAATAAAGCTTGCAAACTTTGTATAAAAAGTTGTTTAAAATGTCTTAAGTTTTCTCAGAAGAGCACTAAATTGTTTAATTATTGTATTTCATAAAAAATACCAAATATACCCTCAGTTCTTGGAATCAAGTTTACAATTTTATGTGAACATTAGTGTGACAATTTGATTAATTACAGAATGTATACAACTACATTTAGTTGATGAAGTACATTGATACTTCATATGCATTTTCATTGTACAAAGGGATAATAAACTTAACGGCATGTGCCACTTTACTTGTTTGAGGAAAAGGAGAATAGGGTTATCATGGGTAGAAAATTAGTCATTATTTTGAATATTAACATCATAGTGGGGAATGTGTCAACAACTTATTTTTAATCAGTAATTGTTGATACTAAATACTTCTATATTAACTATTGTTATACTGCTTTTTATAATTATTTTATTTTTATTTCAATCTTAATCCCATTGAGTTTGGGGTTGGCTGGTATTTTTGTGAGCCAAGAAATTTACATCTGGGTGGCTGGCCCAGTCAGCAACTATATAAGACAAGCATGTTTGGTGACAGAGATACAAATTTGTGACCTGTAGGTTGTGAGTTGAGTGTCCTAACCACCAGGTCATACCTTTATCTAATATAGTAGACATCTTATGGTACAATAAACATACCATTGTTAAAATAATGTTTTTCACACATTTTGTCAAATCAGATAATTTCAGTTTCTTTAGTTTCATATCTGTTGTTTTAGTAAGGCTTTCATTGATTTTTAAATAGTGAAAATAAAAAATTACACATCATTGGATTCTACAGTCAAAAATTAGTAAATTTATACTGCAATTTGAATTGTTTATTTAATAATTAATGAAAAACAATTAATAATTATACCTGTAAGTTGACCTTTTGCACCATTTAAACAAAATTGCTCTGTCTGTATTGTCTGCTTACAGTCCCAATACATCATTTGTTTTGACATGTTGTTTGTTGGAATTAGGCAGATGTGCATACACACACACACACACACACACACACACACACACACACACACACACACACACACACAGTGATATATTGTTCGATATATCACTGACTCTTGTTGGTCACACATCCACTCGCAGACATCCTGTTTTTAGTGCTAATATTTGCTGATTTGCCTCCCCAAAATGGGGAGTGGGATGTTTAATGATCATGATGCTCTTATGTATTATTTCTGTAGACATTTGATATTTGATGTACAATGATTTAATATTTTGTTTATGGAAGATTTATCTATTCGCAACTGCTGCTTTTCACTCTGACACTTCCCTGGCTGAGAACTTTAATTATTTTGGACCCCCTAGTTTTAGCAAATATGGATTTGTTTCCTTTTTTTATATTTACTTTCCATAAGGCCTATGGGATATAGACTCTTCATGTTCCTAATACACACAGTTGCCCAAATAGACTTTTGATTAAAAGACACTAGGAAAATAGTAATTGTAGTTGATTTAAGTGCACCATGCCAAATTCACTTGTTAATAACAATTGTGCCATGTTAGTACAAACTACCAAAATTCAGAATAATAAATTTCAAATTAATTAAGTGAAATTAAATAATGTAATGACTGTAAGGTGTTATTTTTCTGTTTCACAGTAACATGTAGGTATTGAACTTCTCAATTTTTAATTTATAGTGAAAGAAAACTTTTTTTAATTCCATAGTTTGTATATACAATTATATATTTTATAATAATATTATGTACAAATCTTCAAAACAAGTATTTCATAACAGACTAATAATTTACCACTATCTATAAATTAAAATAAATCCAAGTTTTCAAAACTGTTTAGAGAAACAACATGTTATTTCTGGATGTTGTATAGTCTTCCGAACAATGTGTGTGCTTGGAAAATGTCACTGTTGAATTATTTCACAGAGTGGATTGATAATTACGTGTACTCATGAAAAATTTATTTATAACCCAAAAATGAACAAAACACTTCTTGGTTGAAAACATGCAAAAGCATGGATATGAGAGTTGTATTAACACCAGCAAGCATGTTAAGCTACTTTTCTGAATGAGGAAGCTTGATACTTAGCAGTGATATCAAATGAGAGAGACTTCGTCAAACATAATGAGCTAAGCATTACTACACATATTAACTGTTTCAGCACAGGCTCTTGAGACCGACCTCATAACCATTTTGTGCTTGTTATAGTTTCCATGCTATAACTTTTAAATTAGTGTATGTTAATGAAATTTGGCAGTTTATCAGTAAACATTACATTGCTTTCGTACACAAAAAAATCACATTTTTTTTATTAAGTCTTAAGGTTTGTAAAGCAATGTTTTTCTTGTGCCTTTTTTTTTCTTTTCGAATGTTGCCTATCCAAAATGCAGGGTAATTTTCATT